TGGCATTATAGTGCTTTATAGATTGAAAGGTGATAAAGGAAGGCTTTTCTTAGTAGAGTAGGTGGTCACCTAACTGCCTTGTGGCTCAGAGGGCAGGCTCCAGTCTGCCGTCAGCCACAAGGACAGGCGCCCACAGGAATCCAGACCGGAGTCCAGCCTGCTGCCTGCAGCCCCGGGGAGGCCCGATTCTTGATAAAAGTAATTTGTTTTGCACCTGAACTTGCTTAAACCAGGTCTACTTATTACCTAGTTGCATAATTAAATGTTATGTAAACTGAAGAGTGAGCAGCAAAAAAGACGTCATGGCCATGAAATCCAAGTTAAATTATGCTGTCGAAGAAATTGGTAAAGTTAAGTCTCTGAAGCTTTTGCTATTGAGTTGAGTGTGGTTGAGTCAAGATTGGACAAGGAGGCCCTGGCCAAGTAGCTCAGTTGGTTCGAGCGTCGTCCCAATATGCCAAGGTTGTGGCATCGATCCCCAGTGATGGCACATAAAAGCTACCAATGAATGCATGAATAAGTGGAACAACAAACTGATGTTCCTCTCTCTCTCTCTCTCCCTCTCTCTCTCTATATGTCTCCCTTCCTCTCTCTCCCTTCCTCTCTCTAAAATCAATACAAAAAAAAAAAAAAAAAGATTGGGCAAGAAAAAAGAAGGAAAAGCAGAGGATGATGCACTGTGTTCTTCATGGGTGTTCCCTCTGCTATAAGTAAACCAAAACACAAACCACAGATTCTCATGGGTGTGTCTTCTTGCTAAAAAGACTGCAAAGAGTGCCAATTAAATAGCTTTAGCCCTCTAACAAAAAAAATAGGTAATACATTTACACTTATATTGATTTTGATTTAAATTGAAGCAATTAGGGTATGAACACAACTTTCCACCACACTTTGGTTAGTTGTTTCAATTCTGTGTCTAACTACTGGTCTAGTCCAGGCCAAGCATTCATTCTCCTTAAGTGCCCAATCCCCAAACACCGGCCAACTCCTGAGTGGGCTGACATAAAGAAGTGTGTGCTCACAGAGATCTCAGCCAGTCTCTGCATGTCAGGAAAGGGGTGGCCTCTCACCGGCTGTTCAGGGCAGGGGCCAGTGGTCCCAGGACTCACTGAGTAGCCAGAGGAGACCTGTCTAAGTGTGAGGGGCAGCCTTGAGTAGCGGGGAGTGGGACTGACCCAGGATGCTCTGGGCAACATAAGAACTCTCAACACCACTCAAAATCTCCCACCATTGATCCTGAGGCTGTGCCATGTGAGACCACAAAAGTAGCAGCTTCCTTGGGCATGGAGGATTAGGGGATGGCCAGGAGGGAGATGACATCAGGCAGGGGTGGTGAGGGAACAGAATCTGGGGTCTGTGACTTCTCCCTACAGTTAATAAACAAAACAAAACAAAACAAAACAAAACAAAACAAAACAAAACAAAACAAAACAGAATGGTCCCTTGCTGTTTGACCAGTTAGACCTGATTTCTTTTCAATACTCACTCGCACCACAGCCATTAATTACTACATTTCACCACTAGAGGGCAACCGTGTTTCTATTGTAAAATGAGGGAGAAACAAGAAGTCACTTAGAATCAAGGAATTTAGGAGCTGGGAGAGATCTTAAAAATCATTTGGTTCACTGGCTTTCAATTTCGTTTCACTGAAACCCACAGAAAGAGCTGCATTCTTCATGATGACCTAATTCATACATACATATATTTGAAACATTTCGCGGCACTGCTTACCCTTACTTCTGCAATGGACCCTAACAGTTTGTATTCCAAACAATCGCAATAGAAACAAAACCCCCACAAAACAACTGCAACCTACTAAATCGATTTCATAACCCACAGTGGGCCATTAGTTTGAAAACTCTGACTCGGTCCCAGCCTCTCATCTTACTAAGGGGCGTGCCGACCCAGACGGAGAGGCATCCCTACCAGCTATATTCCTTCACCCGCCCAGCCACCTGCTCGCCCTGGGGTCAGTCTTGGATGCACGACAGACATCGTGCAGCAGCTGAGCACTAACTTGGAAAATGTACCGATTGGATATAGAATACAAACCTGAGTTTTGAGGATCTACCCTTTTTCACCTATCAATGCTATAACTGCTCTGGTAATTGAGCAGAAATTCCTAAGTCACTTCATTGAAATCTTCACGCAGGTGGTGTCTCTGCTCCTCATTAGAGCAGCGGAAGGACTGCTACACTGAGTGAATCTCAGACGCCTTCCTGATGACCCCACCCCAATCTGAATTAGGGCCACAATACCTAGCCCAGTGCCTGGCGCACAGTAAGTGATCAAGAAATAGCTAATGGATGAATGGACTGCCCCTCAGTATAATGGTAACTAACATTTTTATACTTTACAATTGGTACTTTTATTATCACCTTTGATGACTCTTAAGAATAACTGGCATGGTTGGCAGAACATGAATTATTTCCATTACAAATATGGAAATATCCAGAGAAGATTTACATGACCTTCTGCGGGTCGTGTGGCTCATTGAAGGCAAAGTGAGGAGCTGGGCTGTGGACTCTCTACAACACCCCACCCGCTGGTCCCCTCTATCCTGGAAAGGCAGTCCACAGCCGCTCCCGACAGGAATCAGCACTCACTCGCCTCGCTGCCACCCCTTCCTCCGCTCCTGCCGCCCCGAGGACCCTGGCATGCCTTTGTCACAGGTTTAAGATACACCCCGCCCCAGGCTGCCTTGATCACCCTTGGACGTGGGCCCTTCTTCAGGAGTGATACTTGGAGAAGACAGAAAAATTGAGGAAAATAATTTCACTGCATTTCTGGGAGAAACTGAAACCACTTTATTATTCTCTAGAGATTCTTGGCCCTGAAAGTTACTAAGCCCTCTTCCGTGGCTCCTTGATTTTAAAAGATAACTAGTTTTGGAGGAAATGCAAAGGTAAACCAGATAACCATGGAATTACCCTTTCTTAGGGTCAATGCCCTGGATTCTGTCACTTAACTCTGCCTCCCTCTCATGCATACCTGCCTCTAATTCATTTTTTAGATATTTTTTTTTAGTAGAAGTCCAAACATATTTAATTCCATGTATTAATTTCTAATTTGTTGACTGATTCCCTCTACTCAATCCTCTTGCTCTGGCCCCCAAAGAGGAATCCTTTAAAATTCATGAGTGTCTACTATTATAGATGAAAAAGAGTAACTATGGAACATTTACATAATAGACTACTACTTGGCTGTGAAAATGTAGAAAATTTCACCCTATGCAACAGCATGGATGGACCTGGAGAACATTATGCTAAGTGAAATAAACCAGTCAGAGAAAGGCAAACACCAGATGATTTCACTTACATGTGGAATCTAATGAACAAACTTAACCAACACGGAAAATCTTGTGTGTGAGGGGGGAGGCGGTGTTGGTGGGGGAGGGATTGAGCAAAAAGGAGAAAGGACTCGGGGACATGGACAGCAGTGAGGTGATTGCTGGGGGGCAGGGGTATAAGGGACTAAATGGTAATGGAAAAAAATCCCATAAAGATTAACTAAAACAGAATTGATCAATAGGAAAAACAGAACAGTAACTGAGCTCTTTTTGGAAGAGAAAAGGAGTTTTTTTGGAACTTAGGTTTTGAGAGCTAGTTTATTTTGTGAAAGATGCCAAGTATATTTTCCCCCTCACGGAGTGACTAAATGCATGAAAATACCAAGTATTTTATTTTGTTTTTATAGCCTTAGAAGAAAAATTCCTGGAATCTGAAAAGTGGTGTGTGCCTTAGGCATGCGAGCTGGGTTCCCGGCGGGGGGGCGGGGTGGGGGGAACCCTCCCACCACAACCCCGCTGCAGATCCCCAGGACCGCCCGCCCTCTTGGGGCTGGGGGTGGGGGCGGGGCGGGGGTGGGGGCGCTCTCACCTACTTTGATAGTTAAGTTCCAAAACTCCGTTTAGCCACTTTTCTGAACTTTTTCTCCCTGAGACAGCAAGGATTGTTAAAACAAGTGACAAAATAGGTTGCCTTTTCCTAGGAACGATTTGATTTCAAATTGTTGAACAAAATGATGACAATTCAGTAAATGTAGCCATCCTAGCTGCAGATTTTAAGTCTTTGAGGGACCAAGTCTGAGCCCCCAAATGGCCTACCCCACGACTGTGTCTGACACCCGGTAGAGAACAATCTTCAGCTAAAATCCCACTGGCCCTCTTTAAAATTCTACCTATTTACACGCTATACTCAATTCTAGGTTCTTTGAGGCTGAGCCTGCGGGCTCTGTGCAATATTTGGGAAGTAGTGGAAAGCGAATGGTTACTTTTGGGACAGATTTGGTGTAGTTCTGAAACTTTTCTAATCTTCTGTTCGATGAAGAGAGCAATGCAGCTGGGCAGACAGAACACGAAGCCTACAGCCAGTGCCTTGTAATCGGTAACTAACCAACCAGCTGGAACGTTCTCATTCAGTCTGTTCACTTAGAAAACAGCCCCCCGTTCACTCACTCCCATTAGAGTAAAGCAGATGCCGGGATCACCACGGTTCCCACCCAGGCAGATGTGTCAATTCCAGCCACATCCTGAAGCCCTTGGACGGTGGCCCGCAATTGACAAGCCAGTCTGTCCCCGGCCCAACGTGGGAATTGGCTTAAAATCTGAATTTGGAAATCCCACCCAAGGCTTCTGATGGAATCACCGGAGGGTCGCGCCCACCAACAGCAACCACCTTCTGAGGACCACCAGGCAAGATCGAGCCTTGCCTTTTGGGCCTGTCCTCAGCTTCCCCAGACATCTCTTTCCCGGTATCGGAGATGCCCTGTGAAAAATTTATGGCCTCGCAAATGCCGGAAAGAGCCACCTCGTTTTCCGTGAACTGTGAACACCAGCGCGCACCTTCCACGCCTTGGATACTTCAAGGACCCCAAAGCACCACCGCAGTCTCCGTCCCAGACGGGCGGCTGGGCGGACAGGCGCGCGCGCACAGGCGTCACCGCGCGCACGGTGTGCGGTGAGTCACCGATCGCGCCCGCGGCGCCGCTCCCGCACTCACCCAGGCGCGCCCCTCCTGCACCGAGGACAGCACTCGCAGGGCGCTGGGCGAACCCACGCGGAAGTTGAGGAAGTGCAGCGCCGCGCGCGCCGCCTGCTGCAGGAGCCTGCTCGGGAACTCCGCGTCCTGGACCCACCCAGAGTCCTCGGGCTCCCAGGACCCCGCGGGTGCCGCGCCCGCCCCCCGGAGGGCGAGCAACAGCAGCAGCGCTAGCGGCGGGGTGAGGGGCCGCGGGCCCCCGGGCCCAGGCGCGGGCAACGGTTGCTGGCGGGGCTGCATGGACGCGGGCGGGCTGGCGTGGCGCTTGACGGACCCAGGCTCGGAGCGGGCGTTGCTGTCGCTCGAAGAAATAAGGCTGCAGCGGGCCCCTCCCCTCCACCCCCGGAGAGGCCTGCGGCAGGGAGCCCGGTCCCGATCTACAGCGCCCTCTCGGGAATTGCTGCGGACCGTGGGGCCCTCACCCCGCCCCGCTCTGCCTGGGCGACCGCTGCCTGGCCTGGGAGCCGGGAGGCGGCGGCGCCTTGGCGGCGCGGGGCCGAGGTGTCAGAGCCGGGCCACGAAGGCACGGGGACGAAGCTGGCAGTGGAGACTCTTCCCCCGAAGGAGCGCAGCCCACCCGGCGCCCCTGCACGCCGCGTCCACCCCACCCCGCCCCGCGCCGCGCCCCCAGCCCAGCTCGTGGACCCACTTTTTTGCCATGCAGTTGCTGCGATTTTGAAATTTAGGGTTTCACTGTCAGTTCTTCCAGGCCTGGCGCTGTGACTTCCCAGAGGATGAAATTGGGGCGTTGAGGGGGTCACTGTAGCACCATGACCATGGAAGTGGGACAGGTCGCTGGAGAGCTGGGGCTGGAGAGGAGGTTGAAGTTGTCAGCGGGGCAGAGTCAGGTGAGGACCAAGAGGCCCCATCGGACTTGGAAACAAGTGGGTCATTGATAACCCTGGTGCGAAGCAGATTTAAAGACTGGCGGATTCCAGAGGTGTGAGGTGTGGATGGGGCTTCAGGGCACTGGAGGCAGGAGGGAAATGTTGACAGCTCTTTGTAGACAAGTGGCAGTGAAGGGATGAGATGGCCATTGTTTTTAACCCAAGGACAAAGGAGAACGCCCAGGAGAAGCAGAGGTTAGAGGGCAGAACTGGTGCTGCTGGGTGTTCCCAGCATCCATTTTTCCATCTCCTTTTTGTTAAGGGGTCCACCGCTCCCCAACACCCGCTGACTCCTCCGCGCCACCGTGGAGCTAAGGGGAGTTTCTTCTCTTTGCCTGGGACTCCCTTAGACCCCGCGTGTGTCATTGTGGATGAGATGCTGGGGGAAGGCTGGGCGATGATGAATGGATGGGGATGGGGGTGCCATCTCTGAAAATATCCTTCCTCCCCCACTTCCTCCTATGGATGTGGACCATCTCCTGTCTTTCCTTGCTTCTGCAGATATTTATGGGACACCTACTCTGCTAGGCCCTCGGGACAATGAGGGGGGACAATCTTGGAGTCCACCTTCTAGGCAGGTGGGGCCCAGACAGTGAGTGACACAGGCAGGGAAATGTGTCCTGTGTTGGATTTGGATGCAGCCACATGCAGTGGAGAAAATTCAAGCCCACAGAGGGATGGGGAGTTGGGAGGTGGTTATCATTTTAAATACTACGGTCAAGGCAGGCCTCACTGGGGAAGTGCTGTCCGAGTAAGGACCTGAAGGAGATGGGCAGCCAGCTGGACAGGCACGGAAGAGCCCCGGAGGCAGAAGGAGCAGCAGGTGCAGACGCCCTGGGACGGGCGTCCACCAGGCCTGTTTGAAGAAGGGCGAGCAAGTGCAGCTGGAGGGAGAATACGAGGGAAAGAGCATCAGGATGAGAAGTCAGGGGATCATGGGGGGTGGGGAGATCCTGCGGGACCCCATAGGCCTTGTCACATCTGGGTGTGCCACCTGGAAGAACACACCTAACTTGCTAGCAGCCTCGGAATGAAGCCCATTTAAAGAATGGCTGGGCAGAGAGAGGGGAGGAGCCTGGGTTCTTGGTGACATTGTTGAGCACCCAAATCAACGGATCCTGGAGCCTATTACTTACTGAGTTCCTTGAAGTTTCTGTTTCTTGCCTTCGGAGATAATCATATCCTAACACAGATAATTATCTCCTCCAAATGCCATCCATCGTCTTCCTCTCCAAGAGGTGGTGATAGCGGGTTTCTTGAGAATCTACCACATTCAGGTCTTACAAAGATTAAATTTTCCTTTTTTAAAAAATTTTTTTTTATTTTAGTGCTTTGCCGTCTGTGTTTGACCGCTTTCAGCTGCAAATAACAGGAAAACCAGTTAACACCGTGGACTATTCAGTGGTGTGGGGTGGGAGGTCACAGGGATAGTTTGGTTTCTTGGTGGTTTTTGGAAGGGTTAATGCTCTTTCCAACCTTCTTCACATCCTTATGCTGTTGGTTTTTTGTTCATAAGACTTATTGCTTCACAATTATAGAATGGTTGCCATAGCTCTAGACATCGCATCTGGTAGGTGGCAGGGAGTGGGTTGCCAAGGGGGGAAGAGAGCTCTGTGTCATGCACCTGTTTTTGCTTTTTAGCATCTGGGAAAATTTTTTTCTACAACCTCTTCCCTGCAACTCTTCTCCCCAACAGACCTTCCCTTATATCTCATTGGCTGGAACTGGGTCACTCTGGCAAAAATTAGCTGCGAGGGAGGCTAGAAAGCAAGTATCTGCCTTTTTTTTCAGCCTCTATAATGGTGGTCTGGACTGTAAGTTTGGCTACATAAACAAAAAATCAAATGACACTAGATTTAAAAAGAGATGAAATTTATCACATAAAAGAAGTTGGGGTGGGGGTGGCCGTCCATCTGTGGTTGGTATTGCCAGGTCCCTAAAATTGTCAGGGGCCCAGCCTTTTTCCAGATCTTTGCTCCCACACCCCAAGGGTGTACCCCCGTCTTAGGAGTCCAAGATGAGCTCCGGCTATCAGCTATGGGCTTCCAAGGAGCCCCACAATGCAGTCCTGCTTATATCTCATTGGCAAGAAACGAGTTACATTCTTGGTTGAAAAGGAGGCTGGAAATGCAGCCTTTGTTCCAGGAAGCCACGTGCTAGGATAGAAGTCAGGATTTTGTTACTAAGGAAGAAGACTTTGTCTTACGTTGGTGTCCCTGAAGCAGGTCCTGAGACAAAGATTGTGCACAGGTGGTGTAAGAAGCAAACACCCTGAGGAGAAATCAGTAGAAGAAGGGTAGCAAACAAGGATCTCAGACATGCAGGGAAACTTCACTTGATCTTCAGGAAAGCTTCATAATGCAATAAATTATGCCATAGAGATGTCCCCAACCCCAGGCAGGGAATCTGGGCTTGCATACTTCTATGTGTGTCAGTGATTTGCTAAGGGCCACCCTGGGTGACAAAGCCTGGGCATTTCAGGCTCTCTTCATGTGGGTACAAAGAGACAGAAGGACACAAGGACAGACCTCCTGAGGAGTCCCTGGTGCCTCAGGTTGGAAGCAAAAGCATGCCAGATGGTAGGGTCAGAACCCAGGGGAAGGGTCCCGGGGATCCAGGCAGAGCGCTCGTGGGGTAGCTGCAGGGAGAGTGGGTGGTGGCAGGCAAGTAGCAACCTCCGTCACTGAGGCCGGGAAGGCGTGGGAATGTGTGGGAGTGGCTCCTGGGAGTACTGGGGCCTACGAGGTGGTGAGAATCCCGGAAGTCATATACGGGAGGGAAGACAGATGCATAGGAAACGCCAGGCGAACACATGCTGCCACTTGAGCACGGGGGCTCCTCCAAGGTGCAGTGTTTTACGCAGCAATAATGATTACCACTGGGGCCATTAATGTTGGTCAGGAACATAGAAGGGATGCTATAATTTAAAACATGTTGAAATATTCTTAAATTATAGCATCCATTTTATGAACATTTTCTGGGATACAGGAGAGTGTTTCCTTTGCTACGAATTGTCTCCTGTTCTTTGCCCACTTATCTGTGGGGTAATTGCTATTTTTAATTGATTTGCAGAAGCCCTTGAAATACTAGCGGCCTTGGTCTGCCATGGGTATCACTGATGCTTTTTTCTCCGTCCATATACAGCGTCTGCAGTGCGGGTTGTTCCACCTCGCCAAGTGCCGTGTGCACGGGCGATACTGACTGCGCTGCCCTCTGTCCAGAGGGCCTGGCGTCTTGGGTCACGTGTACCGCCTCCAGCCCTGGTCTCCCCTCCTTGGGTTGTTGCAGATGCCTCCCTGCTGCAGAGAGGAAGGTCCTATTGGGCTGGGGCTGGCCCCCGGCTTTTGAGCAGAGGTAGATGTATCCCCACCAAGTGTGTCTCATGTGTCACGTTTCCTAGTTCCTTAGTCACTGTGCAGGTTATCACGATCATTTTTATACAGAGAACATGGTTTGTGTTTAAGAAACATACTGGTATAAAAAACTATAATGACTTTTAATAATATGAAAAGATATTCAGTATAGAGGGTAAGAGAACAAATTGGCACAGCCTTTTTCTTGGGCTATTTGCAATGTCCATCAAAATTAGCAATGTACATACCTTCTGACCCAGCAATTCTACCTCTGGAGTTTATAGTAACAATAAATTCACACATGTACACAAAGAAGCATGCATGAGAGTGTTCATGTCTGCATGTGGTTTGCACACTTCTCAGATATCAATATCTCATGTCCTGTTCTTCGTTCCTAGAACAGCGCCCGGCACACCATACGCACCAATACATAATATTGGGGAAAGAATGAAGAGTAAAAGGCTGGGGGAAAAAAAAATCTAAGTTCCATAGTTGAATAATTATGATACCTCTGTTACTGTACCAAACCCAGAACCAAGTTGGGTTCTTGTCTCCTGAAATAGAAGAATTCAGTTCGGGGATGCCAATCATGAGAGTAAGCTTTATTTCAGCTCTGCAGAGGGCAGATGCTCTGGGGATCAGAACCAGAACGTCGTGCCTGCGTGTGACGCTCAGGTGTTTGACTGGGAGTAGGCGCCTCCATTTTGGTGTGAGCTTCTCTGGCTACAGGGTGCTGACAAATGGTCGTGGTAATTTCCACCCCAGTCGCAGGCACACCCCGGTCTTGTTTTTCTCCTTCTAAAAGGCCTGGGAATAAGCTCAATAAAAGATAATTGTTTATCTTGTGTTTCTTAGGGGTCTGATGCTTGTAGCCAGCTTCCTGGTGCCCCCTCCTCCTCCCTTCCTCGGACGCCTGTGCCCTGTCACAACTGCAAGGAGAAGAATCGTAGGAAGTTTCCAGACCAAGGAGGCTTGGGCTGTGTCTGCTCTGGTTGGGGAGGAGAGATATAAACCATTCCCCCTCCAATG